GGGTCCGGGAGGGGGCGGCCAGGGCGAGCATCCCTGGTTGCGCCGAGCAGCGGCCGCTGCCTGGGTCTGGGGCTGCGCAGCGAGGGCCCGGCGGGGCTGAGGGAGCGACGCGGGGAGGCTGGGGAGGGCCATGCGGGTCCTTTGTGTGCCCCGCCTCTCAGCCGCCGGGGCCCTGCGGTTCCCAGCCCGGCACCTGCCGGGAGCCGTGCGGGGTGGGGGCGGGCAGGGGACGGGATGGGGGCGGGCAGGGACTCGCGCCCGAGCGCCCGGGTAACGGTGGGAGAGCAGGCGCTTAGGAATCTGCTGGAATGGAAACCTCTCGGTGGCCGAGATGGGGGTCCCAAGAGTAAAGTTGGAGGGGGCTCAGTGCGGGAGCGGGCGGCCGAGAAGCAGATGTGAGGTTGTAAGGTTTTGGCTTTTCAGTCTGGAGTCTTGAGGAGTTTGGGGAGAGTTTTAATGGAAATAAGGTACTGGTTAGGAGTTGTGTAATTTCTAAATATGGTTGTGGTATCTGTGAGACCTCTGGATCAATACGCAAGTGCACAGAAACGGGGAGAAATGGGAAGACAACCTTGTTTAAAAAAACTGAGGGTCGTCTTGAATCAGATAGTTTTTTTTTCCCTTCATAAAACTTTAGTAAGTTTTTTTTCTTTTCCTGTTAAAATATTTCTTTTCTGTGAAATTTGATTTGGAAGGTTGGATGATTTTGAAACTGGTAAGATGCTTTTATATGCTAATTATCGTGGGTTCAAAGTAAGTTACTAACAAAGTGGGAGTTTCTAAATATTCTCAAAATCTCTGTAAGATTAATAACTTAGAAAAAGTAATAAATAGGAAGACGGATTTCCTGAAAGTTGGAAAATGTAGGACGTTCTCATTCTTTGCTTTAGTTTTTTATTTTATTTGGACAACGAGACATTAGTTTTCCATGGTTATTACAAACATTTTTTGGGGTGTGTATTAGGTTTTATGTGAAGGCTTAGGGTGTACTGATGAATACAGCAAAGTCCTTATTCTCTTGGCACATATTCTCATGGGGGAAAGGGTAATACATAAATAAGAAAAATGTCAGGAGTATGTACTATGCTCAGCATTAAAATGGTGTGATAGGAGAATCCCTAAAGTTACTTTTTGGTTGTGTAGTCAGGAAAACAAGTTGCCAGAGGTAGGTGGTATTTAGGAAATATTCTGGTTTCTGCTTTTCATTTGTAAGTGAAGTAAAACCTGAGAGTTAAGTGACTTATGTTGGCAACTTTGGTTCAGATATTCAGGTAATAGTCTAATTTGTTTAAAGTGTGTTTGACTTTTAAAAAAATTTTTCACTGTATTTACTTTTTTTTGCAGTACTGGCAATTGGACTCATGGCCTCACACATGCTAGGCAAGCACTCAACCACTGAGCTACATCCCCCAGCCTTTTGTAAAAGAATTTTACTGTGAAATAGGGTTCTGCCAAGTTGCCCATGCTGGCTTTGAATTACTATACTGCTGCCTCAGCCTCCTCAGTAGCTTGGGTCACTTTTACAAGGGTGCTGGCCAGACCTAGCTTGTATTTGACTTTTAATAGGAGCTTAAGAAGTATGTTTCGCTTTTACTAAACACAAGTCCTTTTGGTATGTTTAAAGTGTTTGGTTGTAAATGTATGTATTCCTGTTCTAGATTTCCAACATTTCGGTGTAGTCCTTTAAAAGTACAAAAAGACCTTCCTTGCAGCAAATATGTAATATAAAGGAAATATTTTCAAATTTTATCCTAAACTCCATGCTCCATGCTTTAGAAACATTCTATGTAAAAGGATATGCCAGTATAATGATAATTGCTTATTTTTAGTGAAACTTAATCTGTAATAGATAGGACTTCATTTCTCTATTGTTTTACTTTTCCTGTCACAAATACTGTGGGAAGTACTGGAATTATCTGGATCACATTATCTTTACAGAGGTTGCATTCTAAGCAAGTAGACATACAGTTACAATACATTGTAATAATTACTTTCTATGAGTGTACTGTGAAATGCATCAATGGATACAGAAGAGTTGATACCTGAGTAAAGACCTTTAAAGACAAGATCCACACAGTAGGCAGTTTCTTGTAGTTCATGGATCAAGTGCTTATGAGCTTCTTAAACCTGCTTTTGAATTCTGGTTCCAAGTAATAGCTATGTGGTATTGAGAATGATGTTCAATACTTGAATTTGCATTTTCTCATATCTGAGATGGTGAGGGTAAAATTCCCTTTGTAGATTTTGGATGTAGATTTGTTTTAAACATGTCATATAATACCTTATATATAATAGGTGCCCAATTGATAAGAAGCATTGGAAAGGACATGGCATGTTAAGAAACATCCTAAAACCCAAGTTTGGGATTTTTTAGTGTAACCTGAAACCTGACTCAAATTGACTTAAAAATCTGAAGGAAATTTATTTATTGGTGTAAATTTCCTTCAGATTTTTAAGTCAATTTGAGTCAGGTTCCAGGTTATACTAAAATCAGTATTTTAATGATATTGCTTAGATTTCCCTAATCCAGACATGTTTGCTCCAGCTTTTGGCGCCATATACCTTAATTATGTTGTTGGTCTTCATTTTCTGAAGTGTTCTGCCTTTCAGTTTGATTGGTAAGCTTAGGTCCTGTGGCCAGTACTCTGGTTGGATACATTGCTTTGCCTTCATTGGAACAAGGATCCCCAAATAGAGTTCCCAAATCAGCAATTTCATATTCTTGGAAGGATATGAGAATCTCAACCATCAGAATCTGCTCAGAAGCTGGATTCACGTGTAATCCCAGCTACTCTAGAAACTAAGGCAGGGGATACTGAGTTGGGAACCAGCCTGGGCAACTTTCTGAGATATGTCTTACAGTGGGGGGAAAAATTAAAAACCTTTTTTATCTATTCAGTTTTAAGAAACTAGAATTCTTAGAATTTACTATAATAATTAGAATGCCCACAACATTGTAGAGAATAAATTATTGTCTGATTGTGAAATTCCAAGTGGGTTCACTCCTCATTATTGCAAAATATTGGGGGAGCGAGAATCTGCTGCAGAATATTTTTTAAAAATCTTTTATTTTTTCAGTTATAGGTGAACACAATATCTTTATTTTATTTTATTTTTGTGTGTGTGTGTGGTTGGTACTGAGGATCAAACCCAGTGCCTCAAGCGTGGTAGGTGAGAATTCTACCTCTGAGCCACAATACCAGCCCCCTGCTGCAGAATATTGAAGGGATAATAGCTCCTAAAAATTTTTGTCTCTAAAAAACAATAATGCCAAAAAATGACTTAAGGAGAATAACATAACTACTGAGTTTAATAATTATTATGCATTTATTATGTGTAGATGACATGGCATAATTGAAAGAATAAGAATTTTAATGTCAGATTTTGACACTATTACTAGTTTTATGACTTAGGGCAAAGTGTTTAAGTGAGGCCATTGTGTGCAGATTGGCTTGGATCCATCTCCTTAGGTTCAGTTTTTAAATTTGTGTTAATAGCTGGGTGCTGTGTATTTGAGAGGCTGAGGTAGGAGGATTGCAAGTTCACAGATAGCCTGGCAATTTAGTGAGCGCATATTTTAGAATGAAAAATAAAAAAGAGCTAGGAATGTAGCTCAATGATAAGAGTATTTTGCTGGCATGTGTGAGGGCCCTGGGTTCCATCCCAAGAATTGCAAAACAACAACAATAAAGAACAGTATTTGTTGAATACATAATGTATTCCAGGATGGGATTCAGGTAGAAATATGAAATAAGGCATATAAGATTACCCTATTTTAAAAAATGATTCATAAAATTTTCACTTGAGTATTTAGATAAAATAAAAAAATGACATTTGCAAATGTTTGCCGTTCTTAATGCTGGCTATTTTATGTGGCCAGTGTATTCAAACTTGGAATTTCATAGGAGGTAAATGTAACCAGATAGTAACTTATTCTCTATTAATTTTGTGGGCATTTTGACTCTTAGAGTAAGTCTTCCAAAAAAATTTTTTTTAATTAAAATTGAACAGATAAAAGTATTTAATTTTTTAATAGATGGATTGCAATCAAATACTCTTAAATCTGTATATAATATTTAGGACCTCATGAAGTCCTAGTTGGTAGAGATTTATAGTCCTAATTTCTTTTCTCTCTTGTTTTGATTATCTGATATGATTGTATTCATTCAGTAAGATGTCTTAACAGTGTAGTAAAATTTCAGTTTATAGTAAGTGGCAGAATTATTTGATGCTTTTTTAAAACTATAGGACTTTTTTATTGAGTGAGACACTATCCCATGTTTTAGGGATATAACAGTTAAATATTGTCAAAAAAATAAATAAAACAATACTAATCACTAGTACCATTTTTTGAACACTAGCTGTGGAATAGATATTATTCTACTGATAGACATATGAAGAAGGTACTATTATCTGCTTACAACTTTAAATTGTAAAATTAGTGTATATTCTTAATCCTTTGCTGCAATACCTTGCTTGATGTTGGGATGCAGAACTAGAGTTGATTTCACTTGTAAAGAACATATAATTTCCAAGCTGGATGTGGTAGTAGCCCATGCCTATATTCCTAGAGATGGGGAAGCTGAAGTAGGAGAATCCTAAGTTAGAGGTCAGCCTCAGCTAAGCAACTTAAGTGAGTTGTGAGATCCTGTTTCAAAAAATAAAAAGTCTGTACCCCTGGGTTTGATCCCCTAATCCCCTATGCTGGGGGAAAAAAAAATACATAATTTCCTTGTATTACTGGTAAATTATTTTGATTGTTTAGGGAATTTAAATGGCAGAACAGATACTTTATGGATGTATCATACACCTATGTTTGTGTCTTTTTTAAAAGAAACTTAGTTACAATATGTTTCTTTAGATTTTATTCAGAAACTGCTATTGTGTATTCTGGATGCAGTGGCAAATATGGTGTTTACTGTTCAACAGCAGTTCTTTTGAATTTGACATATCCATACTACCATATCCTATGAGTTTATTTTCTTTACTTGAACTGTAAATAAAACCCCTCATTATGTATAGTCAAGATTGATAGATTTATCATAGAAATAAGTTATAGCAAAATCATAAAAGCATATCATGTACACACAGGTACATTTATTTATCAAGCTTAGCTTTTATTTTAACATGTAATTTGCCAGTGTTTTTATGGAGCACCACATAAGACAATAAGACGTCTTTGAATATGAATCCACCAATTTGATGCTTACTCTTTTTTTTCTGTTTTTGTGACAGGGTGTTGCTTTGTTGTATAGGCTGGCCTCAAACTCTTGGGCTCAAGAGATCCTCCTGCCTTTGCCTCTGGAGTAGCTGGGACTATAGGTGCATGCCATCACTCTTGGCTCTTAACTTGATTTTAGTAATTTGAATATTGAATTGTGCTAGATTTTTATGATATTGAAAAGTCTTCTTACATTTTTTGTCCATAGTTAAATAACAGTTTTTCCTAGTGACTCAATTTAGTTGTCTCTACTTCATTTAGTTGACATAGAAACAGTTTTTACTTACATCATTATTTTATATAATATTCAGTTAAGCTGTATACTAGAGCTAGTACTGTAACAGACAAGTGTAAAATACAGTTGAAAGGATCAAGAGAGAGTGGCTTTCTAGCCATGATTTTTCATTGTAAAGTGGCATTACAGTTAGCTATTAATTTTTCAAAGGGAAGCAGCAGCATGATTTATCAAGCAGATGGATTAAGAAGGGGATTCTTGGTACAGTGCTGTGAGTGCCAGGAATGCTCTTCAGCATTCAGGGGGTTGTGACATCATTTGACTTTAACTTGATATGACTTGGTATGATGGCTTTTCCGTTTTACCTTTGTTCTTTAGTCATTTGTCCATGTTTTTTGGCACAGTGTGATTACAGACACTTTGCCCCTTAGTTCCAAAGTAGATAAAGTATAGTATACATAGTTTGTTTGTATTAAAATTTTAAGTATCAAGGAATTGGTTTCTAAATGCAAAGAGTTAAGAAACATTGTTTTAAGAAACTTACTGACTGCTAGATCTTAATTTAAAAGCCATTGCCTCTGTTTCAGTATCATTATTTGGAAAGTAAGCAGATCTCCTATACTGATAGTTTTTCTATGTAATCTATGTGATTTGTGAGAAACTTCTTTGGAGCTCTTCAAGACTACCCCTCCAGTTTTTTTCCCAGTCAGTAATATAGTCTTTTTTTTAATATTTATTTTTTAGTTATTTTTGTCAATACCTTTAATTATTATTTTTTTATGTGGTGCTGAGGATCGAACCCAGGGCCTGAGCCACAACTCCAGCCCAATCATGTATTCTTTAATTTAAATAGTCAAAGTAGTGATAGTCTAGGGAACACAACTAACTTGAATACCTTTAATGTATATAAAGATGTAAATTATTTATAACTTTGAGTACTTCCATTAGTAACAGGTTCTTTTTGATATCTTTTATAACTTCATCCATGAGAGCTGTTGCTCTAGAGAGACACTTGATTAAATATGATTAAAATGATATTAATTGGTCAACTTTACAGTGGGAATGGGAAATTTATTTGGATTGTTTGAAATATGGGGAATGATAATTGTTTTTCACTTTGAACATATTTTGTATAAAGACTTGTGAATAAGGTATTAATCTTCTTGATTGATACCTTAATTTTTTTTAAGAGAGGGAGATCTCTTTTATTATGATTGTTTTTTTAAAGACATAAACAAACTGGAGAGCTAAGTAAAGAAATTTGAAACCCTTTGAAACTTTTGCTGGAACCAGAACTGCTGTTAAGAGAGAAAATACTAAGAGAGTAGGGAGCAGTACATAATGATCAGGTCTCTGGGTAATTTAAAGCCTGTCCTTGAAAGAGATAATAGATTTATTTTGTGTCTTTAGGGGGAGGTATCCCACCAATGTATGAAAGTTATAGAGAAACATGTTCAGAAAAGGAAGAGGAATTTTCCTTGTAATTGTCAGATTCTAACTTGTCCTATCCTTATTTTATGTTATATTTTGTAAGCTCTTTGATAGGGGACGTATGAAAATTAGTAGACTTAATATGTAAGAAAATGTGAAAACTTTTGCTCATTTTTCTTTTGAAATCTTTTTACCTCTTGGTGGTAAAAAGATGGTCCTTACTTTGAAGAGTTGTGTTTAGTAGATACTTCTTTAAAAAGATTGCTAGTGTAAAGAAACTTGATGTTTTGAAATTTAATAAAGTTCCTAAGGTATTGTAGGAATCTATTTTCATCATTACAACAACTTATAAATAAATATTAATTGAATTTAACTTTGAAATGCAAGAATAACTTATTTTCTGTTCTTTTTAATATTTTACTTTAATTCAGTTTGAACTTTTAATGAAAGAATACATGCACATAAACAGCAGTAAACTATTCTTTACCCTAATTTCTGATTACCATAGAAAGTGACTTTGAACTCTTAGGCTGTTCCCTCCTTCCAATTTACCTTGTTATTTCTAACTAACATAGTATTGCTATTTTTTTAAAAAAAATTAAATTTTTTTACTGTAGAAGGAGGATGATAAGAATTTGGTCCTTCTTAACATTCTTCCCCATCCTCTTCACCTATGTAGCCTTTCCTCTCAAGTTTTTAAGTGTTAGGTTTTCTTCATTGGATTTATTTATTTATTTATTTGGTGCTGGGGATTGAATCCAGGGCCCAGCCCTAGGTACCTTTATATATATATATATATATATATA